ATGGGGTTTAGGGCATGGTTTGGGTGTTTTCCATGGATTTTTCTCCTCAGTCTGGCTCATGCTGTCAGTGCTGTGCTCAGGGTGTGGATTGGTGCCTTGGGCTGCATCTCCTGCACAGAAAGGGCTGCAAGGGTTGGGGACACTCTGGGGCTTCCATGGCCTGGAAAAGCTGTTCCCAGTGTGCAGGAGGTCCCTGTGTGCATCCTCATGGGGCTCTCAGTAAAACCAGGATGGAGTTGTTTCCTGGGTGGTTTGGAAGTGCTGTAATCCAAACTTGCTGCACAAAGTGGGTCTGTTTTGAGAAATCCATGAAAGGTGTTTGTCCATCATTACAGCCTGAGATTTTCCTCATAAGAAATTCCCCAGACTCAAAAAGGATGAAGTGTGAATCGTTCAGCACATTGTTACACTGAGCAAACTTCCCCAAAGGATTCAGCATTGGCTGGGTGGGGAATGGCAGCTGAAAACCTCTGGAAGCCACGGAGGACCCAAATGTCAGAGCAGCTCACATGAAGACAAGTGTTTCTGTTTCTTCCCTTCCTTCCTTGCTGTGGGGAAAAGCTGCAGCTCAGGTGTGCAGGGAGGGCAGGGACAGGGGATTTGATGTGTTCACCCAGCTCTCCTGCAGCTGCTGCCTGCTTTGGCAGGGAAAATCCCTTATTTCCCCTTCCTCTGCATCGTTCCTGGGGCACTGATGCACAGGGTGCTGCAGAATGGGACCCTCGCAGGAAAACTGGGGAGCAGGAGGGGAAGTTTTGGAGAGGAGCTTCTGGAGGCCCTGTGAGTTCTCAGGGAAACTGAAGGAGCAAGGTTTGGAGGCTGGAATAAAGCACAGGACTTGTCTGAGAACGGGGCAAAGCAAACCCTGCTTCAAATGAAACGTGAGGTGCAGTAAATGTGTGATCAGTGTGTGGGCACAGCCAGGGCCCCAGTGTGAGCTGCTGTGGGCAAGGCCCTCGCTTTGGGTTTGTAAAGTGCTTTTTTCCCATTTCTGCTGTTATTTTCTGGAGGTGCAGCTCTGCCAGCAGCTGGGCTGTGACAGCTGGACCGTGCAATAACTGATGGGCAGCGAGGCTGGGGCTTAGCACCTGGCAGTGCCAGGGGTCAGGAATCACAGCCATCCCTGCCCTTGGCTCAGCACCCACCACAGCCTGGGAATGCTGCTCTTGATTCCTGCTTCGGCTTGGGATTGAATGAAATCCCTCCTCTTTCCCCAGCCTGTTCTGGGTCTGACCCTCTCAGTTGGTGCACAGGGGTCTGGTGTGGTTTTAAATCCTGTCACCTCCTCTGGGGCTGTGGGGAGGAGTGTGTGTTCTTCCAGGGAATTCTGCACCTCCTGGTTTATTGCCTGGACTCTGAAGGTGCTGCACTGCTCAGCACATTGCTCTGGATCCAACCTCAGAGGGATCCCTGGATTTATGGGAAGGAGGAATAATCTGCAGCTGCTCCCAGGATGTTCAAGTTTTGTGTTCTTTTGGCTTCTCTCTGCCCCACTGTGTGTTTTGAAGGCAGATTTCAAGACCACAGCCAGAGGGAATGCTGGTTTTGTGGTGTTTAATGCCAGCCCTTCAGTGCATCCACGTGCAGCATTCATGGAGGAAACTGCTCCAACAGAGCAGGGTCGGATGCACCATAGGGAGCTTGGGCAGGAGCAGGGCTGTGCTTTACCTGTTGGCAGAGTTTGGGCTGAGTGGGAAATAGTGAAGGTGAGAAGACTTTCAGAGAGCTGTGAAAGCAGGCCTCAGAAACAGAAAGAGCAGAGAACTAGCTGAAAGTAGAAAAGTTACAATAGTACAGCAAGCAAGGCCATGAAATGATATTTTGAGTTTTAGGCTCGGTTAAGATAGACCTTAAGACTGCAAAAAAATATGCCTAGCAAGACAGTAGAAGGTTTTAAGCTTAATATTGGAGTATTGTGGATTGTTAATAGAAAACATAAAAACAAACATTGTGTGAAGCAGGTGAATGTGTGCTTTTAGTGATTGGCTAGAACAATTATCTGTAAGCTTTAACAACATGCTGTTGACTAGAAAGTTTTCAAAATGCTCTATACCAAAGAAATCTTTGGTAGGACTGCTGGCAGGACATGACCTGCTGCATCTTCCAATTGTCTCAACCATGCAATGAGGCTGATACCTCAGTAAAGCTCAAGGAATGTGTCCCAGCAGCCCCATCCTGTTTGTGCAAACCTCCAACACCGTTAGTGCAACGGGCCAGAACTGGGCAATAAGTTATGTAAATGAGCAGAAGGCTGATTAATTTTCTTTATTATGAAACCCACTGCTTCTTTAT